AAAGCGCGTATTCTTTGTTCTAATTCATAAACTTTTATTGTTAATCTGGAGTTTTCTGCAATTACTATTTTACCTCCCGTAATTCTCAGTTCTATTTTTTGTTAAAACTCATTTTTCATGACCTCAATTTATTTTTATACTCTATTTCAAAAGAATTTTAAAAATACGAATTAACCAAAACTTTGAGGATCGTATCTCGTAAACGTCGCAGGCTTTAGTCAAGATAGCGTATGAGGATGATCTTCAAAGTTTCTGATGCAAAAAAAGAAAAACAAATAAAAACCCACCTCTTGCGGGCTATTCAACATGGAAGTTGAATTAATACAAGGGTAATAAATTACCGGGTGGGGTATAAGTTTTGTTTGAGATGTTTACTACGATGATTCGAAATAAGACTGGGATCTAGCCGTATCATCGATTCGGAAATTTCGTATCAACGTAAGAACAAATCAAACATTATTTGAATTTAGATAAAGGTTAAAAAACTAAAAACTAATTTTGATTTAGTTAATGAACATAAAAATACTATCAAAGATTATTTTAAATAATTTTTTGTATTTTTATTTTTTATTTTTTAATAAATAATTTCTTAATATTCCTTGAATCGACTAATTATGTTTTTACAAAGAATCAAAATGCAATTCGTATTGGTGACTGGGATGGTTAGGGGCCCAGTCAAAAATTCGAATTAAATGACGATTCGTTTATATTAAACATAAATATAAAAACACAACTACCTATAAGCAATTGCGAGGCCAACGATACGCCAAAAAAAAAAAAGCCCCGGCAAGGCAAGCAATCTAATCAGTAATAAACCGATTAGATTTTTACTTGTGTAATTTTGTTTAAAATGTCTCAAAGTGAGTCTGATTCTGAAATTCAAAATATTAAAGAAAAAAAGAAAAAACATGTAGATCATACATGGTTCAGAGAGAATGAAAACACAAATTTTCGAAGACTGATTATGTTTCCTGATGATGAAGGACACATAACTGAATATATTCAAATCAAGTTAAGCGATAAGCAAAATGCTCTTCTTGATAAGGAATGTAGAGAATTTCTTAAGTGGTATAAGCTGATAGATTAGCTAAACTTGGATCATTACAAGAAGCGACAGAAGAAAATTTTAAATTAGAAACTTATTCTAAACATATTACTGATTATTTTAACAAAAAATAAATATTTATTAAAAATTTGATACTAGTAAATAAAAGAATTTCGAAAATGAGAGTGCGTTTAGAAGCAATCACATTAGTGATTGCTTATGATAAGCATCGAGGTGTTCGAAATTCTTTTATATCCACCTATACCGAAAAGAGAAGAAGCGAGAGAAAGAGACTGATAGTCAGTCCAATTTTTTGTTTGAGATGTTCTTACGATGATTTAAGGCGAGACAGAGTCGTAGCCGTATCATCGATGTCAAAGACATCAATGATTTGGGAACCTTAAATCATCGTAAGAACAGAGCAAACTTCTTTTTACTAATCAGTTTTATCAGTCCAAGACCGATTAGACTTTTCTTCACACAATTTTCTTTCAAGGCTTAGCGATTAGAGCTTTTGTGATAAAAAAGAAAATTTAATCTTAAATACAGATAGCAATTATGTTATCATCTCTAGAGATGTTAAAAAACCAAAAACTAATTTTGATTTAGTTAATAGATTCAATGATTTGATTAAGGAATGTGAAGGAAAAACTTATCTAAAGCATATTAAAGGACATAGTGATATTTATGGAAATGAACAAGCGGATAAACTTGCATATTTAGATTTAAAAAAACCAAACCTCGAATTAGTTTTACCAGAACGTAAAAATACTATCAAAGATTATTTTAAATAAATCATTAATTTTTTTTTTTATAAATAAATAAATATTTTATAAAATTAAATGCAATTCGTATTGGCGACTAGGAGGTGAGGGACCCAGTCAGAAATTCATATCAAATAATATTAACAAACAACAAACAACCAACGCATAAGCAATTGCGAGGCTAGCGGCATGCCAAAAAAAAAGCCCTCAACGAGGCAAAAAGTTTAATTATAATCTAATCAATTAAATTTTATTATTTTTATTTTATTAATAAAAAATTATAACTTATAAAAAACAATCAAAAATAAAAAAAAAACAATAAAATTTTATAAAAAAATTCTATTTTATAAAAAAAAAACAAAAACAAAAACAAATTAATTAAAAAAAAAAACAATTTTTTAAAAAATTAATCGTTGGCTGGCTCATATTTCTCTTTTAGAGCAATATATTTCTTGTT